GATGCATCGTTCAAGAACGTCAAATTCGACATGTCTTCAGTCTTCTCGAACTTGGGCGGATTCATCTCTTGGATAAGTTCCGATTTTATTTTCAGCTGAATGCAAAAAAGCTCATTTCATTTACAGAACGGTCAATATGCCTGCTTACTGTGTGACGACCCAAATGGGCAATAAATTTAAGAGATAGATCTCTATGATTACTAATAGTTTGGCTGGCAGCAAGCGCGTCAAATGGTAATCGATGTTATGAAGTTAAGCTGTACGACTGGTAATCTTGTAAGATGGCTATTGGTTAGAATTTGACAGAAAAACGCTGAAAACAGCAAATTATGCGAAACTTTAGCCCATGGACCCAGCCAGGTTGAGAAACCTGGGTCCATGGACCCCCTGGGGGCCCGAGAGAGGGTGGGGTGAGAGGGGGTGCGATAGGGGGGNGGTGTGCGAGGTAAGGTAGGGGTAAGAGGGCATCTTAAAATTTTTCAAGGACTCCACAAAGCAAAAATGTTAAGAACCACTGCTTTAGCCATTGTTAGTGCTCACATGAAGTCGGCTACCAAACTGAATTAAACTGTCATTAAAAATGGAATCACCGCACAATGGAATACAATGGAATTGAAATATACAATGGAATCACTGCCATTAAAAGGGCGATTGATTTTTGGCGATAAATAAGAGAGTTAAGAGAATAACAATGAAACAGTTATCTTAACAGCAATATTTTTTGATTTATACCTCATTTCCACGTCCTGTAACCACATCAACGACATCTCCTTGAGTGCCCTTAATTTGAGCCTTGATAAAACCTTCTTCCGCATCCGGTATCCAGCAATCCTTCTTCGAATCATATGGTTTCGATTGCTCCTAAAAATGCATCAACTTAAGCATTCTAGGCCAAAAGTTTATTGTAATCAGTCAAATCCAAATTTATCGACTACCTCATGAATGTGGACGATTTATGTAATCAGGCTTGAGACGGAAACTGTATCATCGACTTCAACGATAGAAGCTGATAATATGTTGAACTGAGTGTGGAAACACCCGCTCATAGAATTAATAGCCTCTAAAGACCGTAGAATCCCAAATGGCCGTCTTCAGAGAGCGTTCTAGTGATGGTAAATTGGCAAAATTCTTTTTCTTTCGATTCATCTTCGAAATTTCTCATTCTTCTCATCGATACTCCAGTGGAATTCCTATTCTTTCCGTAAGTTTTCATCATTTTCATTATTCTTTAAATCCATTCTGCCTAGTCAGATCAGATACTAATCAATCGCTTTGTACTGAGTGCGCTTGGTGCATCTGGAAATAACGCTTCAGAGCACCTAGAACGCTTCAGCACCTAGAGTATTTCATCACAAAGTTATGCATATGTATTGCTGCAATGGCTGTAAATCCCCTCTGTGCAGCAGAAAAGAAAACTGATCTCGTTGTTGAAAAAAATCTGATGAGTACATTGATGGAATGTTAGAACGATGTTCAAATTAAGACAATTGAGAAAAAATTTTTACGAATCTTCGAGCGTCTCTAGTA